CACCACGCATAGGGAATTGGTTTGGGACAACTTATTGGATCTCAACCAGGCATGTGACCCAGGCCAAGCATACCCCACCAATCTCGTCTGGGAATAGAACAACTGACTGAAGTCACTGCTGTTTCTTGTTCTTGCCAGTCCTGCCCAATTCCAAAATGTTATTCCATTGGCGCCCCTTTCCCATGGAAGGGTTTTATTCCCAGCACTCACCGTAGGTCAATGCAGGTCCCTTGCCAGCTCCATTCTCTGTTGGGCTCACCAGCTTCTGACTTCAATGCAACTGCACTTTAGTGTGACTGTGATTCTAGCAAGTTGAAGTGGCAAGAATTCGAGCACATGAGACCATGGAATCTTAGCTGCCTCAATTGTAGCTCCAGGACTGCATGTTTGCCTGGTTCTTTTTGCTTTAGTTTCTTCCTGGGTTGAATGATCCATCTCCCTCTGGCCAGGACTCCTCATGATATGTTATTTTGGCATCTGAGTTGTCTGTCTCAGGGAGCTCTCTCTATTCAGATTTTTCAGTCATGATTTTCTTTCAGATTCTAAACATTTTCCTATGTCACATGGCCAAGAATTTTTTTAATTTTTAAAATTTTTTTGTGCTAACAGTGTTACAGCCCCAGCACCATTTTTAAAAAATGTAAACTATGCATGGTGGCACACACCTGTAATCCCAACACTCAGGAGACAGAGGCAGGAAGACCATTGTGAGATTAGGGCCAGCCTAGGCTACATAGTGAATTCAAGGCCAGCCTGAACTATGTAGCAAGATCCTGTCTCAAAAAAAGAAGTACTAATATTCTGGAATATATATATAAATTCTTAACAAATATGTATATTTTTTCTCATGAAAAATATTTGCCCCTTGTTTTCATTTCTTGTACCAGTTTTCAGGCTTTGATATCTGGGTAATGCTTGTCTAAGTGGGTGGATATCTGTTTTCTGTAAAAATTTGTATAAAATTAGTATTATTTCAACCTGAAAAGTTTAATAGAACTTACCAGTGAGACCATCTGGCCCTGATGTTTGTGAAAAGGTTTTTAAACACAAACTCAGTATCTTTAGTTGATTCTTAAAGTGAGTTTTGATTATCTCCATGTTTCTAGGAATTTGCCTACTTTTGTATAGATTTTCAGATTTATTGTAATTAACCTGTTTGTAACTTTCCCGTTATATTGTTTCCTGTAGGATCTCCAGTGATATCTTCTCTTTTAATCATCATAATTTTTGTTTCTCAACATCCCTCATCTTTTTTGAAAGCAATCTAGCTAGGAGCATATCAACTGTATTAATCTTTGAGGAGGTAGCTCTTGGTTTTGCTGTATTTCTTCATTTCCATTCTTTTACTTACTTCAGCTTTAAAATATTATTTTTTATTTTCAAAGGTAAAGGCATAGAGCATTTAAGACTTTTTAAATTTTCTAATACAATCATGTAAAGTTATGAATTTATCTTTAAGCACTTCTTCATGTACACTCTATACATTATTATGCATTGTATTTTTATTTCCCATTATTTAAAATATTTCTCAAATTTATTTTGTCATTTTTTTTCTTTCATTTTGAGCAATTGTTTGTGTAATTTCATTTTTACCTATTTGGTAATTTTACTGGTATCTCTCTACTTTTAATTTTAGTTGAGTTACCTTGTGATGAGAAAACAACATTGTGTACTTATAACTTTTTTATATTTATTAAAGTTTGTTTTATGACAGCAAATGTCCTATCTTGGTAAAGTTCCACATACAATAGAAAATAACATTCTTTTTATACTGTAATTAGATGAAGTTAATTCAAATACTGTTTCAATTTTCTGATTCCCTATTGATTTTGTCTGTCATACCAATTACTGAGAGAGTAAAATCCTTTACTATAATTATATTTAGTATCATATATGTTATATATTATATATGAATTCATTTATCCTTTGAGTGATGTTATTTTTTACTTCAAGTATTTTGGGCTCTGATATCTAGCTGCACATTGATTTAATAACACTGTGTCTTCTTAATAAATTGACTCATTGGGGCTGGGGATTTAGCTCAGCAGAATAAGCACCTGCCTTGCAAGCAGACAGTTGTGAGTTCGATCCCTGGTATCGATAAAAACAAAAAAGACAAAAAAAAATAAATTGACTCATTATGAAATATCCTTACACCTGGCAATATTCTTTGTTCAAAAGTCAACTTTGTTTGATATTAATATAGTCACCCCCTTCTTATGATTCTTAATGATATGCATTTTTAATTCTTTTACTTTCAACAATTTGTGTCTTAATATTTAAAATGTTTCACATAAAGAACAAGTAATTTAATCTCTCATTTTTTGCCTAGTCTAACAGTCACTAATTTTTAATTGATGTATTTGTATCATTTATATCTAATGTAAATTAGCTACATGATTGCATTTAAATTACATTTCTATTTGCTTTTGCTTTAACTTTTTTGTTATTCTTTTTCTCTTTCAACTCTCTTTGTTGATTACTCAGCATATTCTTGATATTCCTTTTATTTTCTCTATTGAATTCTTAGCTACAATTTTCTATGGTAAATGTCACATATATTGGTAGGAGCAAAGATGGCAGATAGATAACAGCAGGCTACAGAAGCTCCCTGAGACAGTGAACTTAGAATTCAACATAATACAGTGTGGGGAGTCCCAAATAGAGGGAGACGAATTCTCTCATCCCAAGAAGAAACTAAGGTGAGAAGAACCAATCAAAGAGTGCCAGTGCTATTATTGGAACAGCTAAAGGTTCAGTGCTCCCACCAAAGCAGGTAACTTGTCAACCATCAAAGAGATTACCAGAAAATTAAAAACTCTATGGAAAGATGGCAAAACTGTTTGAAAGCAACTAAGGATAGATTATCCAAACTGGAGGACAGGCTTGCAATGTGGGATTATGAAAGGAAAAACTTTTTAAAAATAACAACAAAACAAGCAATAACAATACAAAGGCTAGAAGATGACAAAAGGATCTATAACTTGAGAATAAAGAATGTGAATGAAGAAGCAAGGATACAAACAAAGAACTACAAAGGTTATTCACAGAAATAATTAAGAAAAACTTCCCAAACATAGGAAAAGGAAATGATATTCAGATGTATGAGGCCTACAAAACTCCAGCCACCTACAACCAAAACAGAGCTACACCCAGGCAAATAATAATCAAGATCCCAGAATTCCATATAAGAACAGAATATTAAAAGCTGTTAGAGACAAGAAACAGATCACCTATAAAGGAAGGCCCATAAGAATCACAGCAGACTTCTCGACACAAACCATCAAGCCAAGAAGATCCTGAAGTGAAATATTCCAATCCCTAAAAGAAAATAACCTCCATCCCAGATTGATATACCCTGAAAATTTGTCCCTAGAAAGTAATGGAGAAACAAGATGCTTCCAAGACAAAGAAGAACTTGGAAAATTTGCAACCAGCAATCCAACTCTACAGAGAATACTCCAGGGCATTCTAGAGAGAGAGAAAAGTACTAGGATTCCAGGAACAGTGGCAGAGAGGCCTCAATGATGGAGCAGAAAACAGAATAAAGAAGACAAGCAGACAACTGATGGCAAAAAAGAGCACAATGAGGCAGAAAGGTTGGTTATAATCTCTAACATAGATGGCCTTGATACACTAAATTAAAAAAAAAGAACCACACATAGAGTAGATCAGGAGATGGGGTCCACCAAGATGCTATTTATAGGAAATATAATTAACATGAAAAAGAGTACATGAACTGAAAATCAAATATGAGAAGACAATGCTCTATGTGACCGAGAACCAGAGAGTAATAGGGGCAACTAGACCAGTATTTGTAGATAGGTTGGAAAGACAGGCTTTAATAGGTAAAGGAATACAATTAGAGATCAAATCCAGGAGAGAGAAGGTTTAGAACCACTTAGGTAAGTAGCAGGTTGCCCCTCCCAATTTAAAACCAAGGGTCTTGGTCAGACTCAAAAATGCACAGTGTACCCTGGGGAAGTGAAAGGGGAAGGAGAGTCTTTAAAAAAAGGTGGAAGAGGATATTGTTAAGAGTGTATCAGGATTTAAAACCCACATTACTTGCACCACTCTGCTTAGATAGATTTTATTCTGTCCCAGTTTGTCTACTTGCATTACATTTGAAGGCACAAACAGCTATCCCAAAAACATCAGGATATAGCACAGTAATCATCTTTAATTTCCTATTAACTTAATCTGGAGCCCTGTATGACTTACACTGTTTATCATGACTGATATTAGCTAAATTTTGTTTGTTTGACTGCTGTTTGGTATCAACAGATTTTAGTCTGAGAGTATAGGCAACTACACTGAAGATGACAAGATTCACTACAATACACATTCTGGTTTGATTACTGCCTGTTTTTGAAGTTTTATATTACACACAAAGTTGTGTTTTTATTAATACTGTTATGTACTGATATATTCAATTATACTAGGTCTGATGATATAGCTAATTCTATTGAAGATAACAAGAGACAACACATGAACTATGGGAGAACTCCTTGTACAATGGTCAAGGCATGTCTTTTTCATTTCATGTGCTTATAGGAATATGCTTTGTTTATTTTTTTCTATGAAAGGATGTATTATTTCTACCCATTTTCTGTTTTTTTAGTATTTCTTTAAATAAAATTTTTTAAAGATTAAAAAATGTTACATATATTTTCTTTTTTTATTTTAAAGAGGACAAAATTAAACACAACAAAAATAGAACATAAGAAAGCAATGCAAGAGACATAAATTTCAAAGCAGGACACTCAGAGATCTTCACTATCTATCATATTGTCTCTTGTTTTCTTCCAAATAGTTGTCAATATCTTCACATACAGGGAATTCACACAAAGTAACACAGTACAGAACTGATCTGAACAAGATGTGGAAGGCGTTTTAGGTCTTCAAGATCAGACAATAAGGAAGTCATCAATGGCTGTCATAGTGTCTCTCTTCAAAATAGTCACCCATACCTTCATGTATGTTGAAATTAAACAAAACCCCTGACCCTGAATCAAGGCCAGCAGCTTCCTGATGCTGTTAGTTTCAAGCAGGAACCTAAAGAGACATCTTTCTATGGTCTGTTGGCCATTTCCGAACTTGGGCAGTGAAATGATCAATTCATTAGAAAGAAACAGCTTGAAGCAACCCCTTGCCTCCACCCCATGAACTTCTGTGAGCATGGCAGGCTCTGGCAGCCCAGGACAGGAGCCTCTGGTGTTTACTGGGACTCGCACCATGCTGGGACCTGGAGCGCTGGGAAACCAAGCAACTCCTCTGCCCTGCCTGTTTTGTTTTGTTGAACTTCAATATACATGAAAGTATGGACAGCTATTTTGAAGAGAGAGACTCTACGACAGCCATTAGTGACTTCCCTATTGTCTGGTTTTGAAGACCTAAAACACCTTCCTCATTCTGTTCAGATCAGTTTTATACTATGCTGTTTTGTATGAACTCTCTGTATGTGAAGACATGGACAACTACTTGGAAGAAGAGACAGTGATAGTGAAGATCTCAGGTCGTCTAGCTTTGAAATTTATATCTCTTACATTGCTTTCTTATGTCCTATTTTGTTCTGTTTGGTTGTGTTTAATTTTACCCCCTTTAAAATAAAAATAAAAAAGAAACTAAACAAAACCAAATGGGCTAAAGTCACTCTGAACAAAGAATAATAGTATTGCTGGATTTCACATCTTGATGCTACAGAATCAGCACTGGGTACTGTAGTGTCTCTTTTTCTTTAAAGTAGTTGCTCATTTCATCATGCATTATATGATCAGTTCTCATAAATTGTTTATAGGTTCTATGCATGCTTGAGTCTCTACATGTATTTCTATCTGTAGTGGTTGATTGATTGTTTCAACTTGAGACATTTAGAAGCTTAACTAAATGGGTTTAGCAACTCTACACCCAAGGACGTAGAAGACCCACCCTAGGGTGGCTCATCATCTGGAGGTATAAAAGGGGAGGAGGAAGGATGAATGCATTCCATTCTTGGGAGAAGCTCCAGTTTTTGCCTTTGATTTGGACATTATCTCCTGGCTTCCAGTGTAGACTCTTCAGCTTTCTGGCATAGACTCTTCAGCCTTTCATCATAGAGCCTTGGGCTTTCTGTTGCAGACCCATCAGCCTGCTGGTGTGGACTTGCACAAGACGCCAGGGTGAACTCCAGACCTTGGACTGAATCCTTCAACCTCTAGTGTATAGACACCCGCTGCATGCTTCCTCATTGAACTCTGTGGCTGACCATTGTAAGCCAATCTTCTTGTTTCTTTTACATCTGTATATCTCATGTTATATCTGTTCCCTCTAGTAAAACCCTGACTAATACACTATCATTTCTGTATTAGAGGAAAAAACAAAAAAAAGCAAGACAAAACAAAACAAATTCCTATAAAAACATGAAGTGAAAGAGTCATATAAAACCATGGTACAAGGTAATCTACAATGGTTATTGTGTTGTCTCTTGATATCTTCTATAGAATTGTCTATATCATCAGGATAATATAATTGAATATAGCAGTATATAACAATATTAATAAAAACAAAACATTATAGACAGTGTAAAACTTCAGAAGCAGGTAATAATCAAACCAGAGTGGGTATCCTAGTGAATCTTGTCATATTCAATGTAGTTGCCTATACTCTCAGACTTGATACTATCAATCATAACAGATTTGAATAAAATATGTCAACACAAAACAACAATATAATAAACCAAATTCAACTAAGATCAGTCATGATAAAATAGTATAAGTTATACAGGGCTTCAGATTAAGTTAATAGGAAATTAAGTGTGATTACCATACTATACCTGGCTATTTTCAGGATAGCTGTCTGTGCTCTCAGATCTAGTGCAAGTAGCCAAACTGAAAAAGAATATAATTCATCTAAACAGAGCAGTATGAGTAATGTGGGTTTTAAATCCTGATACACTATTAACAATATCCTCTGTCTTCTTTTTTTAGACAATTCCACCTCTTTCACACCCACAGGGTGCACTGCACATTTTGGGGCCCACCAACTCCCTCAGTTTTTAGGTTGGAGGGGCAACCTTCTATTTACCTAAGTGGTTCTGGACCTTCTCAGTCCTGGACTTGATCTCAAGTTGTATTCCTTTGCCTACAAAAGCCTCAAGGTTTTCCTTCATTATAGCTAGGTAGCTATTGCACATAAGTATCCTGTCTTTCCAACGTATCTGCAGGTGCTGATCAAGTTACCCCTATTTCTCTCTGGTTCCCTGTCACATAGAGCATTGTTTTCTCATATTTGATTTTCAGTCCATAAACCATTTTCCAGGTTAATTATATTTTCTATACAGAGCATCTTGGTGGACCCTGCCTCCTGATCTACTCTGCGGGTGTTTTTTTCTTTTATTTTTAGTGTATCAAGGCCATCTATGTTAGAGATTATAACTAATCTTCTCTGCCTTATTTCTGCTATGTTGTTTTTCTGCCATTGGTTATCTACTCTTCTCCTTCATTCCACTGTCTGCCCATACATTGAGACCTCTCTGCCACTGTTCCTGGAATCCTGGTATTTTTTTTTCTCTCTCTCTCTCTGTAGAATGTCCTTCAGTATTCTCTGAAGGGTTGGATTGGTGGTCTCAAATTCCCCCAGTTGCTCTTTGTCATGGAAGCATCTTGTTCCTCCATTAATTTCTAGAGACAGTTTTTCAGGGTACATCACTCTGGGCTGGAGGTTATTTTCTTCCAGGGCTTGGCATACTTTGCTCCACACTCTTCTTAATTTGAATGTCTGTGTCGAGAAGTCTGTTGTGATTTTGATGGGTTTTCCTTTATAGGTGATCTTTTTCTTTTCTCTGATGGCTTTTAATATTCTGTTCTTGTATTGAATTTCTGGGATCTTGATTATTATATGTCTGGGTGTAGCTCTGTTTTGGTTGTAGGTGGCTGGAGTTCTGTATGCCTAATACATCTGAATATTATTTCCTTTTCCTATGCTTGGGAAGTTTTCCTTAATTATTTGTGAATAGCTTTTGTAGTTCCTTTGTTTGTACCCCTGCTTCTTTATTCACATTCTTTATTCTTAAGTTATAGATCCTCTTGTCTTCTAACATTTGTATTATTACTGCTTGTTTCATTGTTATTTTTTTTTAAAAGTTTTTCCTTTCATAACCCCACATTGCAAACCTGTCTTCCAGTTTGGATAATCTACCCTTAGTTGCTTTCAAGCAGTTTTGCCAGATTTCAATGGAGTTTTTAATTTCCTGGTAATCTCTTTGACTCTGCTTCATGTGTTCTTGATTGTCTTTATATTCTTCATCGAACATTTCTCTTCTTTTTTGTATTCCTCCATTCTTCCACCTGTGTCTTCTTGAGAGGTGCTTAGCATTTCTTTTATTAATCTACTCATATCTTGCTCTACTTGGTTAAATATTTCACTTTTAAGCTCATCTATGAGGTCCCAAAGATAGCTCTTTATGTCTGCTAATGCCATGTCTGATATTGCATGTTTGCTACCCTCAGTCCCTTCTGTATTTACATCTCTTGGATGAATATTCTCAGGACTGGGGACTGGGGACTTTTTCTTAATTTTTTAAAATTTTATTTTAAAAAAGACCAAGCAAAACAGAATATAGGTAGAAATAATACATATATTCAGAGAAAAAAATAAACAGTAAGAAATCAAAGTTGATGTTTACATATTGTTGTTTTACAAATAGTTGTTCAAGGTACAAGAGTGGAACACGCAGAGTGGGAATTCAGACAGCAAGACTGCAAACAGTTCTGTTCAACTGTCCAACAAAAACTTAGTAATATGATTGTCAATCTTATACACTTAAACATACATCCATAGCTTCATTTATGTTTAGATTTTAAAAACTAAAGCAGGTTAAAATCATTCTGAACAAAGAATAATAGTATTGTTGGATTTCACATCATGACACTCCATGATCAGCACTGGGTACTGTAGTATCTTTTTTTAAAAATTTAATCTAAAGAAAGACTAAACAAAACATAAAATGGGTAGAAATAATACATAATTTCAAAGAAAAAATAAACAGAAAGAAATCACTAGTTGATAATTACAGATTGTCCTCTTACAAATAGTTATTCAAGATACTAAAGTGAAGCATATAAAGTGGAGATTCAAACAATGAGACTGCAACCAGTTCTGTTCAACTATCCAACAAAAACTTAGAAATATGGTTACCAATCCTATACACTTAAACATACATGCAGCTATCCATATCTTCAATTATGTTGACATTGAATAAATCCAAGTAGGCTAATATCACTCTGAACAAAGAATAATACTATTACTGGGTTTCACATTATGATACTCCAGGATCAGCACTGGGTATTTTAGTGTCTCTTTTTCTTCAAAATATCTGTTCATTTTATCATGTGTCATAAGATCAGTTCTCATAAACTGTTTACAGATTTTACACATGCATAAGTCTTAACAGATATTTCTATCCTTTCTATATTAAAGGGAGAAACAAAACAAAGCATGGCAAAACAAAACATATTCCTATAAACACATGAAATGAAATAAACATATAAGATCATTGTACAAAGAGTTCTACCATGTTTCCTGTGTTGTCTCTTGTTATCTCCAATAGAATTGGCTATATCATCAGACATAGTATAATTGAATATATCAGTACATAAAAGTATTAGTAAAAACACAACTTTGTATATAGTATAGAACTTCAAAAACTGGTAGTTATCAAACCAGAATGTGTAACATAGAGTCTTGTCATCTTCAGTGTAGTTGCCTATACTCTCAGATTTGATACTATCAATCATATCAGTTTTGAATAAAATCTTCTCTGCCTCATTTCTGTTATGCTCTTGTTTACCATCACTTGTTTGCTTATCTTCTTCATTCTGTTTTCTGCTCCATTCATCGAGGCCTTTCTGCCCACTGTTCCTGGAATCCTAGTACTTTTCTCTCTCTCTGGAATGCCCTATAGTGTTCTCTGTAGAGTTGGATTGGTGGTTGAGAATTTCCCAAGTTCCTCTTTGTCTTGGAAGCATCTTGTTTCTTCATTAATTTCTAGGTACAGTTTAGCAGGGTACATCAATCTGGGATGGAGGTTATTTTCTTTCAGGGCTTGGAATATTTCACTCCAGGCTCTTCTTGACTTGATGGTTTGTGTCAAGAAGTCTG